GCCTGTGCACCACAACTACTGAGCCCACGTGCTGCAACTACAGAGGAGCCCATGGACCGCAATGGAAAGATCCCACATGCCTCAACGAACATCCTGCGTGTCTCAGCTAAGACCCAACGCAGCCAAAAAAAAAAAAAAGAAGAAGCAAAGGATTTTTAACATCTATTTCCTTATAATAAGGAACTGGCCCCCTGGATGTGGAGGCTGAGAAGTCCCAGGACCTGCAGGTGGGTCGGCTGGAGGCCCCAGAGTCCACGGCATACATTCCCATGTGAGTCAGAGTCTGAAGGCAGGAGAAGACCAGCGTCTGAGGTCAGGGCAGGAGGGGAAAGGATTCTTTCTTCCTCGGTCCTCTGTTCCACTCAGGCCCTCAGTGTGTTAGGTGAGGCCACACACATGGGGGAGAGGCAAATGCTTTACTCAGTCTATCAATTAAAATGTTCATCTCATCCAGAAACACCCTCACGGATCAGCCAGAATAATGTTTGACCAAATAACGTGTAACCGCAAACTACCGCACATCCCAGTCAAATTGCACGTGAAATCAAGCATCACAGACACACAGACAGTTCTAGACCAGGAGACGTGACTCAGGGCTTCTTGGAGGAGGGTCCTGGTTCCATACTTCTGTCCCTAAATCCCAGTGAATTACTGAACCCCCATCATAAGTGGGCTAAAGCTACGATAGGGGTTTGGAAGGGCTGGACCAATGCAGCACTGCCCGCTCAAGGCACAAACCACTTTAGACGGCAGAGGCTGTCCGCTGCCAAAGCAGGAGCAGAAAAAACCAGCAGTGGTCATTGACTCAGCAACCTGCTAACGGCGCCCTCTGCCACCACCTGGACCAGTAGGATGGAGCCCCCACCAGCCACAAGATGACACCCACCACGAGGGTAGGAAAAGGTTTATCAGTCACCCACGTCATCGAGCCTTTGGTCATCAAGAGCCTTTCTCAACGGGACAAGAGTCCCCAGCTGGTGGGAAAGAGCCTCAGAGAGCCGGGACCAGGGCCTTGTTGTGATGAGGGCGGGACTGAGTGAGGACTCTTGTGTCCGCTCGCCCGGGGCGCAGAGCATGGGGCCCAAAGCGGGTGAGGCTAACGGGCTCTCAGGAGCCAGGGACCAGGAAATGGAGCCACAGCCTACAGGTGGCTTCAGGACGGGGCCCCGCCGCCCTGTAGCCACAGGAACCTAGTTCTGCCAAGCGTCTCCATCAGCTTGGAGGATTCCAGAAGTGCAGATGGCCCACCTGTGAGACCCTGACACTGGACCTGCCAAGCTGCCGAGACCCCTGCCCCAGAAAACTGGGACGTCCTAAGTTTGTGTTGCTTTAGCTGCCAAACTTGTGGTAACGTTTATGCTGCAAGAGAAAAATGAAAGCAATACGTTACACAGTTGCTCACAGCAAAGAAGACCCAATGCAGGCATAAATAAATAAATTTATTTTTTAAAAATACCATATTTAAAATTTTCTTATGGAATGAAAATAAATAAGCTAAGTGCCAACAGAAGAATTTTTTAAAATAACAGAACAACAAAATAAATACAAGGAAATCAAAACAATAATTAATACGAGTGAAAATATTTCTGAATTCAAGATCATCATAGAAAGGGTAGGACTAAAAATCCTAATGCAAGCTGGTTATTTGTGATAAACAACAAAATATACAAATATCTACCATCCAGTGAAGAAAACAAGGATAAAATACTTAAAAATAAGACATATTATGATGGAGAGAGTATGACAACCCTGCAAATTAAAAGAATTCCAAGAGGGCTTCCCTGGTGGCGCAGTGGTTAAAACCCACCTGCCAGTGCAGGGGACAGGAGTTCGAGCCCTGTTCTGGGAAGATCCCACATGCCACGGAGCCTGTGCACCACAACTACTGAGCCTGCACTCTAGAGCCCACGAGCCACAACTACTGAGCCCGTGAGCCACAACTACTGAAGCCTGCGCACCTAGAGCCTGTGCTCCGCAACAAAAGAAGCCACCGCAATGAGAAGCTCGCACACCTCAACAAAGAGTAGCCCCTACTCGCCGTAACTAGAGAAAGCCCGCGCGCAGCAACGAAGACCCAACGCAGCCAAATATAAATAAATTAAATAAATTAACTTAAAAAAAAAAAAGAATTCCAAGAGATTATTTTGATCAATTGTCTGCAAATAAATGTGATGACCTGTATGAACTGGGTAAGGATGATGAAGTGAGGATAGACATGCAGAAACTGTTCTGAGAGCTGCCCCCTGGCAACCTCACGTGGTTTCTGAAAAGCTGAACTTTCTGGTGGTTTTACTGGATAATTACACCAAATCGTTAGGGAAAAGATTATGCCAACACTTTTAACCTTTTCCAGAACTTAGAAAAAGAAAGAATATTGCAAATTCTTTACAAGACATAAGGCCAACATTAGGACTCCAAAATGATACCACAAGAGAAGAAAATTGAAGATCAATTTTATAATTAAATGAACTGAGTCATACGCTCATGGATTAAAATTAACTCCATGGATTTTGAAATGCACTTAAACCATTAGCACCCATTTTTCTTTTAAAAAAGCAATTAAATACAGACATGCTTTCCTGAAAGGCTATCTCTTGCTTTTTCCCCTCTTAGTGAGACAGCATTTGGCACACTTCCGTCACAGGCCCAACAAGCTTCCTGATCGCCACTCCAAGGGTTCTTGTGTTGCAAGTCAGTGTGTTTTCAAGGACACAGTGTGAAAGATCCTCTCCCCAGCTCGTGCAGTTCAGCTGTAAAGGTCGTGTTATTTGGCACTGCTCTGGATATACCAGACGACACGACGGGACATGAGGAAGAAATGGGATACAAAAACCAGAAGGTAGAAGGTAAAACAATAATTTATTTGCAGGTTATATGACTGTTTATTGTTAATTTTAAAAAATCTACTGAAATACTATTATAAGTGACAAGAGAATTCATAACATACCTAGATAGAAAATTAATATACAGAAATCATTAGTCTGCAAACCTCTAAACACAAGCATTGAGAGGCGGAGATGGAAGGAAACACATTATAAAACATCTAGGAACACAACCAGCCCCCCAAATGCAGATCGACGTGAGGAAAATTTTGAGACAAAGCTGAGGTGCAGATGAAGCCCCGAGCAGTGGAAAAGCACACTTAATCTTGGGGGAAATAATTAATTCAACAGGAATGGATGTTGTCCCTAAGTTAATCTTGAAAGTTATGCAGTCACAATGGAAGAGCAACAGCATTTTGGAAAAAATAAGGGGGAAAAGGCAAGATTTTCAAACTTCATATGGAGACATAAAAAGCAAAAGTAGAAAATTTCTGAAGACAAAAGTACAGAGAGAAAGACTTCTGATGGAATAGATGTATTCCTTCCATTAAGTAAAACTAAAACCCCTGACATTATATATTGAAAAGTCACCGGAAGTCTCTAAGAGAGGAATGGCTGGGGTCCTCAGATGCAAGGAAGGACACAGAGCTGAGTTCCCTTTCTTTTATTTTTCCCTAATATATCCTAAACTGAATACTGGAGGGAACAGCGGTCAGGAAACACCAATGGGGATAAACAAATAAACAAAAAGCCCCAGGAGAATCTGCTTGATCAGGTCAGAAGACCAGGAAAGGGGTCTGCTGGCCAGATGGAACACCCATTAGCTGTTACATAGAATTACAAAGAACAGTAATTCTTTGCCTAGAAGAGTCAGCTGTTACAACAATGCCCACTGAATTGCAAAGTCAAAGGTGATTAGCTGAGAAATGCTTCTTTGTAAGTTGTCTTTACAATTGAGGTAAACCCGAAAAATAAATGAAACACTTACCTAAATAATTCAAATCACTATACCTGATAAAGTAAAGAATACATCTTTTCAACAACTGGCCTTACTTTGATTTTACAAAGTATCCTCTTGAGTTGATGCTGTGGAAAATGTATCAAAACACTGATGTTTTAACATTAGAATCTATGGACTGCATTGTTATTTACTCTTTTTACCCCAATTAGTAGCTAGTCATTAGTAAAGGGTGTAAAAATCAACACAGTCACTTTTATAAAACCATCAGAATAACAACTGTGCTATCCAGTACGATAGAGCAGTTCAAAACGTGTTGTGTACAAACGCACAAGTTCCGTCTTCTGGCTGGTAATTGGCGCTCAGAGGCCAGTCCAGACCAGCAGTGGGACCTAGCAGGATTGTCTAGGACAGCCAGCAACTAGCTCACTGTTTTCTGTTTGTTTTTGTTGAGGCTCGTCTGACAGGTTTTTCCGTTAGAAAGTTACTATTTTTCCCCTTTGTGATTCTTAGGTACTTTATTGGGAGATACTCTGAGAGCCTTTGATATCTTGTTTCTCACATTTGTGCCCATTTATTTTAGAGCCCTGGGGTAATTCTTGCCTGGAACAACTGTGGCTGGTGTGTTTGTGATATAACGATTCTCCATCATTCCTTCTATGTTTATAAATTGGAATTCCGCTGCAAGAAAGAGCTTTTCCTTCTCTCTCATGTATTCGTTCATTCAAGTATTTTTTATATCTCATTTGTTCATTCAAGTATTTTTTATATCTAAATAGATTAATGGACTTTATTTTATTCTACAGGCAATTGTCTATTATTATCATTATTTTACTGCTGAAATAGTCCCAGATTTACTCAGTTCATTCCTGTGTCATTTTGACACATCCCCATCATCTCGGAGGCATTTCTATCTTTTTGGCGTCATGAAATAGTCCAGGCTTGTCTCTTACTCTTTCTTACTTGTCCTGGGATCAGCCATTTCCCCGAGGAGCTGTGATTCCTTTTATTGGAGTAGATAATTGTTATTTGTTCCTGTAGGTATTGGAAAAACAAATTTAGAACCTTGCCTCTGATTCCCGATCCATTCCCACTAAACCATGATAATAATCGGCATGTGAGTTTTCAGGTTTTTCTCTGCAGATAGAATTAGAAAGTGTGCTCTGACCTGACCGATGCTTAACTAGAAGGAGGGAGAAACTGTTTCCCCACCTTTACCCTCAAGTATGCTTCATATCAAAGCCTTCACTACCTTCCAGGAGACAACCAGGTTTTATCCTTATTGGTTATCATGATAATTATGACACGTGTTGTTCTATTCTGAAAAGGAAATATCCTTATCAGAAAAGGCTAAAACTTACCCACAAGCAGACTGGTCTTCTTTGCTTGCTCAGACTGGAAGAAGGATTTAAACCAGCAGGTGGGTTCTGCCACTTCAGGTAACCCTATCAAATAAAATTCACATTACTCCTTTATCAAACACATTTGAGAGATGAAAAACGAAGGGAAATAATGAGGGTGACGCTGATAAGAAATAAACGACATACCTTGCTGGGATGTGTCAGCATCTACGAAGTGAACAGAATCAGAGCCAGTTAAAGAGTTGCCTGAAGAAACACTGGATTCTGTAGGAAACAGAGGATAATAAACAAGCAAGTAAACAACAAGCCAACAAACACAAATTTTTATATATAAACGCTCAAGTAGCATGGTTTGAAATCATTTAATCCTGATCATGAATTCATGAATTGAAAATCTGATTAAATTATCAGCCTATTAAAAGTCTTCCAGAATAACGCGTATTACCTTTGTATTAATAAAGTAAATTTCTTTCCATGGTGGACAACTCTCTCTCTCTCCACAGATTAAGTGTAGAATTTAAAATATATTATAAATGTTATCAAAATCAAAATCTTAGGAAGCACCAAATGAAGAATGAATATTATTGTACTATATTAGGAATATTTCTTGTATATTATATATACTAATTTGTACGGTATATACATTTTATTTGTCATATCATACTTGTATTTTAAACCTGTAAGTCTTTTAAAAGATCAGGATATAAAAATAATTTCTAAGGATGTAAATTTATTGTCTGTGAAAAGAATAAATCAATAAATGTGTCCAACTCTTATCTACAAACAACCCTTGAAATAAGAGTTTTCTACATGCTGGCATACATCCCTTAAATGATAATTTGGTTCTGAAATGATTGTTTCATTTTATGAAATTTCTGAAGTTTCTTTAAGAAGCTACAATGTTCTATTTAGCTATAAATAATCACAGATGGATAGATAAATTAAAAAAAAAAACTGGCCAGGTAGAAGCTGACCTATTACCCACAGCAGAAAATGGAAATGAGAAAATCTTTGAGGCAGAGTCACGTGACTCCTCTTTTCTAAGAAATGAATATTTTATTTATGTGAAATTTTCCGTTTTTAACATATCCTATTAAATGTAAGGTACATGAAATTAAAACATAATTATGAAGTACAAGCTTATTGTCACTTATTTATGTGGCAGTGGTTTCATGGATGTAACATAACATAGTTAAAGCAAGCAGTGGGGCTTGACCATATTGATTCGGATAGGTCTCTGATGAGGTCTATTCCTATTTTCTTCACTGTCACAAATAATTGTCATTCTTCTCCCTTAAGTTCTGAGCAGGATATGATACGTAGGTTAATAATATCCCACAAACATCTCCTCAGATCATATTCTCTGGGGGTACCCTCCGGTGCTGGTACAACTTACTTCGATAATACTGGTTTGGGGCCAGAGGCATCCAGTGGAAGGCACCGATGCCATTGTCCCCTGAGCAGGGCCAGTGAGGTGGTGACCAGCAGCCTGCAAAACAAGGGCAGCGACGAAATGCTGAAATTTCCTTTTCCTTTTCCCATGAATGTGTGTGTGTGTGTGTGTGTGTGTGTGTAACGCAGCATAATTTACCACGTAATAAATCTCATAAAGAGAATTAAAGAGTTTACACAAAATTGCAATCAAATACATTGCAATGAACAAAAAATGCAATTGCTTTGCAAAGACAAGAAAAAAATACATAACCAAGTACCATAACAACGCCTACAGCTTGCTCCACCTGAAACACTAAAGGTCAGAGAAGAAGTGTGAACACAGCTGTGACAGGCACTCACCCGCCTGCCTTCTCCAACCTTTCTTTACGGTAAACGTGGTTCTAAAGCTTCTTCAGAAAAGGCACGCCGTGGAAGGGCTGATTGGCCGAGATCAGGGACAGACCAGCTGCCCGGCAGGGGAAGGGGTGTTAACCGCCTGCAAGGCAGAGAGCGGAGCTGCGAGCACACGCAGGTGGGCACCAGGCCACCGCAGGCGGAGCCGGAGGAGCCCTGCACGCCCGCCCCCCCTTGACCGTGCCAGCCTGCCAGGTGGGCCTGGGCCCGGCAGGACTGGGCCCGGATGTGGCGCTGCCCTCGGCTCTGCTGGTCTGACGGGGGCGGGGTGGGTAGTAGCCCCTCTGGGGACAGCACCCCGCCGGGCTCTGCGGGGGACGCCCCCGGCAGGCCTCCAGGCCAGCCAGGGGACTGGACGCCGTCACAGACACATGAGTGGGAGATAACTCTCATTTTCCTCACCAGCTCTGCACCATCCCTGGCCACTACGCCACGCCCCTCTCCTGGCTGGTGGCACCAAGGTTTTACCCACCTGACCCTAGTTTTTGTAACTTTCTATTGTAACACCACTCACATTTTACTGAGTTATTTGTTAGAATGCGAGTTTCTCAAAGCCAGAGAGCACCCTGTTCGTTTTCCCTTTAGCAACACCCAGTACAAAACCCGACACAAACAGTAGTTCGTGTTCTGAAGATCTGATAAAAATAATGTATTATTCCTCCTGTGCATGGTAGTGAGAATTACATCCTCGGCTAATAATTAAAATGCTATAACAGGGCTCAGACTTCCACACCATAAGCATGACGTAACGAGACTAATTTTTACCTGACTGTTTTCTGAGTCACGTCGTTTTTCAATAGGTCAGTATTAAAATGAGGTCCATCCACATTTTCACTAAGTCTTTTGTCCTAGAATTAAGTTATGCAAATATTTCTCTTCGATCATAACAAGAAGAGAGCCCGACTCTGAGGACACCCTTCAAACCTAACGGACGCCTCACTAAGGGGAGAGAAAGGGAGGCTTAAGAAAGAGTAAGTACTAATTAAAATCAACGGCAGCCTCTCTGAAAGGTGACCTAATTATCACATGGGAGACACTATTACTCCTCCTGGGTTTATTGACGATGGATGAAGTAGTAGAGAGATATCCGACTGCTGCTCTGTAGAGCATGGAAATTCGTGGCAAGAAAGAGAGTTTTGCTGGTAGATGATTTCCTACCACGCTGCGCTGTCAGACGGTTGACCAAGTGTGCAGCGTGAGAGCAGACCTGGACGACTCCACCGCCTCTGCCTCATTCCCGGCTGCAGCCATGAAATATGAAATGTCTGCGTGTGCACACGGCATGCCAGGGACCTCAAACACGCGGTAACATCCAGGCCATTGAACATGTCATGTTAAACACACTGGGCACCTCTGACAACGATAGCTGCAAATGAACACGTGTGGCAGGTGCTTCCCAAAGGCACGCAGTCTGCGTGGGTGCTGGCCGTGGCGGGAATCATCCTCCATTCCCCTCACCTTCCTCCTGTGAGTTTTCCCGGGAAAAGAAACCTACCTGAGTCCCTGAAGGATGAGCTTACAGTTCACAGTGTCGGAGTCTAGTGGTGCCGCAGAAAGGCTGTGGACCGGGGCCACCAGCGTCCTGCCCCCGGCCACCTCAGCTCCCTCTGCCTGGTGGTTGCAGAAGACGACACACCCTTCACATGCTGCCTGTTACCACCCCACTTACACTGGCTAATAGTCACTCTCCTCCCTTCACAGAGTTTCCCCAACCTATGAATGACACCCGGCTGCAGTCAGCTCATCCCGAGGTCCAACAGTCTACTGCCAGGGATGCTAGAGCATCACCTTCCACACGGCCCCCCGACCAGGTCCTCACAGGTAGAGGCTGTAACAGTTGCCCTAGGTCTCAGTCTGCTGGACTCGCTGTAACAAAGCACCACAGACAGGGTGGCTTAAACAATAGAAATTTAAACTTTATTTTCTCCCAGTTCTGGGGGCAGCATTGGTTTCTTCTGAGGCCTCTCTCCTTGGTTTGTAGACAGCCGGCTCCTCTCTGTGTCTTCACAGGGTCTTCCTGCATGTGTGCCTGTGTCCTAGTCTGCTCTCTTATAAGAACTCATTCATATTGGATAAGGGTCCCATCCTAAAGACAACATTTGAACTTAGTTACTTCTTTAAAGACCCCGTCTCCAAATGCAATCATGCTCTGAGGTCCTGGGGGTTAGAACTTCAACATGTGCATTCTGGGAGAGCACAGTTCAGCCCATACCAACCTGCTAGAGTTTCCCAGGTGATGTGGGCGCTCCACCCATCACCAAAGACGGGGTCCAGACAGCTGCCGGCCAGCTGAAGGGTGGCCCAGCTCTGAAATCCCAGCCCTGCTGGCGTCCTGCCCTTGGCTGGGTTCCCTGGGAAGCAGACACTGAGACTCACATGGGGACATTTCTGGGGCAGAAGGAAGCCTTGAGCATCACCTGTTCAAACCATCAGTCTCATCAATTACATCACGAGATCACTCAGACAACTGAGCAGGTGAAGTGAGATTCCAGACACAAAGTGTATGCTGAGCGCTAAAATTTTAATTTCAGACATGGAATGAATTATCTCTTTAATTGAATATCCTGAATTATATCAATTTTGATTTATCTTTACCCATAAATCTGGGCACTGCTATTGCTGGAGTAGAATATACATAGTTTCTGACATAAAATTTCATCCACTGCAGTCATTTTTTCACTGATCCTTCAACTAAACTCAGACAAAACAGTTTCTTATTTAGAATTAAAACCAGAGAAGCAATGAGCTTTAGAGGTAGAGATGAAAGATACAATTTTAATCATCTCATAGTAATTATCAAAGGGTCCAAATGAACACAGCATGTTGAAAGTATTAGATTGTGTATTCTTTACTTGAAATAAAAGTTTTAACTCTGAGAATTACACCTAAAAAGAAAGAACAGTTTTAACAGTGGTGTTTATTTTATGGTACTTTTCACTCTTCATGCCTAATTGAGGATATAGTTTCCAAATATGGTGTTTTTTCACTTCTCATCTGTTTTTTTTTTTCTCTTATGAGAATAAACTCTGTTGAACTTTCAGATGAAGTATTAACTTTTATCAGATGATCCAAAGCTCAAGTGGATTTTGAATTTCAGCCAAGGAAGGCAAAGTATTTTGATGAATTTCATCGCCAGAAAGGAAGGGGAGAAAAAAATACTGTTGGCAGAACTTGCCCAAGCCGTTGCCAGGAGCCATAGAAAACTTACTTGCATTGCAAATCCATCATGACATTATAACATAGTTTTATGTAATCAAGATCTGTCGTTCAAGGCAATTTATAAATAATTAAATACGGAAAGGCGCAAGCAGTTAATGTTATGTGAGTCACAGCGTGTTTTTCTAAAGTGTTACGTCTGTATGTGTTTAAACGCAGGCCCTCAATCACAAAAACACGCAGAGGTTGTGGACTTACAGGTGCTCATATAGTAAATGTTTGTAAAACAATAGTGTTACCTGCAATCTTGGGAAAATATCGGTGAAACTTTTGCTGAAAACAGAATTGCTTCAATCTATGGCACAACTTCTAGTTTTGCATCTATAATACTGAACTCAAAGGTAAACTCTGGACTCCTTCATGAATCCACACTCATTTCAGATTACCAGTGGAAGTGTGCGGACGTTTTAAGGTTTCCGTAATTCTGGTCAAGGCCCTTTTGCTCTCACTGACTCATTCCCTCGTGACCACTCTACCCTTATCCACACTTTATTTAGGGCCGAAGTTGTTAGTGTTTTCCCTCTATTTTACTCTGCCCTCTCTCCCTTCCCCCAGCAGCATGGGATATACCGGGGCCCGGGAACAGGAGGGCAAGTGTAGGGGTCAAAGTGAGACAGGAAATAGAGTCTGCACCGTCTTCATGCAACTCAAAGCAGGTGAAAGACACTGTCCTCGGGACCGTGTCCATTTCTGAAGGAGCCACAATAATAGCTGTTCTGTCGACATCATTACTCCGACTGCGCAACAAGACACAGTGAGGAGATGAAGGAATATCCCCAAGGTTATTTATGGTCCAACGGGTGGAGATCATCTCATTCACGGAAGCTCAGGATGAAGACCCTTGGTTCATCGTGTGAGGAGATGCAGAGGGAGTGTCTCGCCCTGGAGCCCATGAAGGGAATTCCCTGGAATAAAGGGGTTTCTGAGGCTGTGATTTCTTTAAGGCTCTTTATTACATTATAAAAATGTTTTTCTTTTCTAGCTCCTTCTCATGTGATGAAAGGACAAAACCTTTGTAGCTGAAGTAACTTTTTAGATACCCCATTGGAAGCAACATGCTAACTGTAAAGTATGAAGCCAGGGGAATGAAGTGCCCCAATCTCTGTCATACCTGTGTTCAGATTCTAGTCCGGACAACTCTGAAATGCCTGTTGCACAATTGACTGCAGAGGGACACAGTCATTCAGAGCTCAGGACAGAGCCAGAGCTGGGGCCGGAGATGCTTAGTTCAGGATGTTACCCGTGGAAGACGGTACTTAACACCAAGAGCTTGCCTGAGGTTACCTGGTGACGTGTGTGCAGAGAGGCGCAAAGGATGTGGAGGGCTGAGCCCAGGGCAAGCTCTGTCCACACTTAGAAATCCAGCCGAAGGGCTCTGTGCAAGCA